ATCTGGTTATTCCCAGTCCCCTCCACCCCTTATTTTTTTTTAAGTTGTCAATGGACCTTTATTTTATTTATCTTTATGTGGTGCTGAGATTCGAACCCAGGGCCTCACACATACTAGGCAAGTGCTCTACCACTGAGCTGCAACCCCAGCCCTCCCAGTCCCCTTGATGAAGCCATTCTTTTAACTGGAACATTCAGTCCACGTTCATTTGCTGAACTGAATGCCAGGTAAGTGGCTCTGTCCGCTTCTCACCTAATGCTTTCTGGCCCTTTTGCCTGTTTGCGTTTCTTGGTTGGTGCCTCATGCTTCCTTCTGCGACCACTGCTTGTGGTTTCTGTCCCATCTTCCCTTCCCCTGTGGGGACAGGGCTCTTTCTATTCTTGGGCGCAGTCACAGTGTACATGCAAAACCAAAGTCCAATATTCCCAAATGGCGCAAGACCCAGAGGCCTTGTGACCAAGCCACTGTGGTGGGTACCGTACCCCAAGCAGGCTCTGTGACTGACACCCAGTGATTGTTTGAACCCAGGGGTACTTAACCACTGAGCTCGGTACTTAACCACTTAACCATCGGTGCTCTTTTCAATCTCCTCAAAGACTTGCATTTCACCCTCATTCCTGGTCTACTTCACGCCTTCTGAAATCACTGTCTTCCTCTTTGAGGTCTGTCCTCAGAATTGATATGAGAGTCTATGGGGGCACTGGGGATATGGCTCAAGTAGTAGTGAGCTCGCCTGGCATGCGTGAGGCACTGGGTTCAATCCTCAGCACCACATAAGAATAAAATGGAGATATTATGTCCACCTAAAGCTAAAAAAAAAAAAAAAGAAAGAAAGAAAGAAAAAAAGAGTCTATGGAGGATGAATTCTTTTTTGTTTATCACTTTCATTATTTTATTTATTTTGTGGTGCTGGTGATTGAACCCAGGCCCTCATGCATGCTAGGCAAATAAATACTTTACTACTGAGTTAAGTACTCAGCCCTTTATTTGGCAGTACTGGGAAATATACCACCAAGCTACACCCCTAGCCTATTTATTTATTTGAGACAGGATCTCCCTAAATTGCTGAGGCTGGCAATTGAACTTGAGATCCACTTGCCTCAGTCTCCTGAGTCACTGGGATCACATGCATGTCCAACAATTGTCCTATATTTATCATTTGAAGTCAAGTGATAATTTGCCTTCTCTGTAGAAGATACCTATGCCAGGCAGAATTTTTTTCTTTTCTCTCGGCCTACATGTGGTACCCTCTCTGTAACAAGCTTCCACAGCCTTTTTTTTTTTTTTTTTTTAAGTCCCACTGTGTGCCCCAAGCTGGCCTCAGACTCTCAATTCCCTTGAGGGGTTCGGGTCACACATTCTATGGCTGCCAAATAAAGGTAGCTGTCAAGTCCCTCTGCTTCCTCTGCCTGCCTCTGAGAGACTTGTCTCTGGACCCTGCAGGACCACTGTGATGGCTCGGGCTTGGAACCTAACTTAGGCCACTGGGCTTTGCTGGGCCGTCCAGGACAAGGTCTGATCACCACCGACCTCCAGAGCACATCCAAGGACTTGCACTTGGATCAGCCTCATGTCGCCCCCTCCCAGGTTCAGGAGGGATGGCCAGCGTGAGAAAAGATGCTGCAGAGATGATGGAGTGTGACTTCCAAGGTCACCTGCAGAGACCTGGCTGCTTGCACTTGGCTCTCACTCCCTCTAGGGGAAGCCAGCCACATGCTGGGAAGACACATAGCCTGCTGTGTGGAGATCTGTGGTCAGGATCTGTGGCCTCTGCCAGTATCCAACCCCGACCAAGACCAAGTGAGGGAGTGCTGTGGGCATAGCCTTAGTCCAGCTTTCAGAGGGACTATAGCTCAGACTGACATCTTGACAACCTCCTGAGAGACCACATCAAGGCCACCCAGCTAAGCAGAGTTCCTGGCCTACAGAATCCAAGGCAAAATATTGTTTCAAGCCACTAAGTTTTGGAGTTACTCTGTTTATGTAAGAATGTATAACTAATATGCCAGCAAAACACTATGTATATCTAGAGTAAAATTTTCAAGATTCATGAAATTTTGTTTGTCCATCCATCTCAGGGATGGAACCCAGGAGTGCTTAACCACTGAATTACACACTTAGCTCTCTTTATTTTTTGAGGTAAGTTCTTGCTAAGTTGCTGAGGCTGGCCCTGAATTTATGATCCTCCTGCCTCGGCCTCCTGAGCTGCTGGGATTATGCGTATGCACCATAGTGCCCAGCATGAAGTTTTTTATTTATTTATTTATTTATTTTTTAAAGAGTGAGAGAGAGGGAGAGAGAGAATTTTAATATTTATTTTTTAGCATTTGGCGGACACAACATCTTCATTTGTATGTGGTGCTGAGGATCGAACCCGGGCCGCACGCATGCCAGGCAAGCGCGCTACCGCTTGAGCCACATCCCCAGCCCTGAAGTTTGTTTTTTTAAAGAACTGGGATTGCATTGAATCATGTTTTTGAAACTCAGCAGGCTTAAACCTTAATAATGGAGCTAGGCATGGTGGCACCCAGCCCATAATCCCAGCAATTTAGGAAGCTGAGGCAGGAGGGTCACTGGTTAGCCTGGGCAACTTAGTGAGACCCTGTCTCAAAAAATAAAAGGGCTAAGGATATAACTCAGTGGTATCCCAGGGGGTTCAATCCCCAGGGCTGCACACATGCATAAAGTAAGATTAACACCTAGAACTTCTCGTCTTGTGAGGTATCTGTGTATTGCTCAGCTACTCAGTGCTCCTCACAGAGGTATGTGGCCAGGGCTGACCGAGTGCTGCCACAGTGAGCAGGAGTCTTCCCAGGCTTTTCTGACTGTTTTTTTTTTCAGGCTATTGAAAGTAGGGTTTCACCCATAGCAGCTATTCAAGCCTTCTTTCATTCAGGAGTATGGAGTTGTTAATTGGCTGGGGGAGGGTGTTTCTAGGTAGAGAAGACCTTGTTGTGAACAGTGGCCTTTTCATCTTTCCTGCCCTCCCTTTCCTGGAGTATGGACACCATTCCCATCTGCTGGGTGGGAGCCAGGGTGGAAGCCCTGCTGGCCATTTGTGCTTCTGTGGCCAGGCTGCAGAGCTGAAGGAGGAGACAGGAGTCCAGTACTTTTAGTGCAACACACTAATTCCTGAATGCCCCTGTCCAAGCACGGAGCTCTCTCTCCATCTTCAAGGACCTGTGATTCTTCCGCAGTATTTAAAAGTTACCCTCAGGAAGGTTTTGTACACTTTTTAAAATTTACTACTAGTACTACTGTAAGTGGTCTTCTTTGCCAGTTTTTTTTTTTTTTTTGGCCTTCTTTTTTAAAAATTTTTTTAGCTGTTGATAGACTTTTATTTTATTCCTTTATTTGTATGCGGTGCTGAAGACAGAACCCAGGGCCTCACACATGCCAGGCAGGTACTCTACCGCTGAGGCCCAGCCCAGCCCAGCCCAGCCCGTGTGTTATCTTCTTGAGCCTGCTATTGGGTCTGTAAAGGCTACTAACTTCCCAACCCTTTTTCTGTGGATGGATTCCAGTCAATGCCTCTAGACTGATCAGGACATGGTTTCCAAACAGGGCTGACTTCACATGTCTGGTGCTCCATGGCTGGTCACTTACAACTCCGGGGGAGGAAAGGCAGACACTGGCATGAGGACAGAGGGAGGTGTATGGCTTCTGCTGCCTCGCTTACCTGCCCGGCCTGCCCAGTGGTAACCCTGGTGCACCCTAACCCTGGTCCCAGTCCTGCAGCTCCCAGCTTCCTTACAGCACTACCACCACCACTCCTAGCCCCCCAACTTTCTACTAGCTGTCATTAAGCACAAGTGTGACAGCTGGAGCTTCACCCACTGGTCTAGGCTGGTGGTCTGGAGACCCTGTGCTGGGGAAGACCTCCTTGGCCTGATGTCAGCCCAAGGCTGCTCATCTTTGTGAGCATGTTCTGGCACCATGCATGGCACTGGGGGCTGTAGTCAGGCACAGCAGAGGCAGTGGCTCTTGAGACCCAGGTTGGGAAAGGGGAGGGATGAAGGACTTAAGTTAGCCTGGAAGGTGACACCGGAGAAGAGGCCAATTAAGGGAAGATCTGGAAGAAAAAGATTCTACATCCAGGGAACAGAAAGTTAGAGAGGGCAGTCTGGGTGCCTTTCAGGGCCACAGTCAGAATCAAGGGAGAGGCCAAGGAACTTTGCACAGGAGCAACCCTGGAAGGACCCAGGTGTGAAAGACACTGCAGTGTCTCCTCCTGTCCCTGCTCTCTCTGCCGCAGGGCCCTGTGATTTGCACAAAGCTAGCCCAGGCCCACTCCTCCTGTGTACCTATTGGCTATACCACCTATCAGAAGGCAAGTCCCTCAGTAGCTAAAGGGTCTTGCTGGTTCCTCACTCCAGTGGCCCCAGTACCCACATAAGGAAATACCCAGGAGGGCACAGGGCAGACATGCAAGCAGCTCAGAGAGCCTTCTTACTTTCCCCCCACCTTTGACCTCAGTGAACACACGTGCTGGACACACACAAACCCAAATGCATGACTCAAAAGGCTCCCTGCACTATCTGACTGCAGGACTAGCACCTGGCAGCCTGGGAGACCCTTGAGCTCCTGTCTTACAGAAGTATGGACCTGTCTGGCCTGGCTTTGAACCTTCCCTAAGCGGAACCACACAGGTAGTCTGGATTCCTGGGCTCAGGGAATGCCCATGGGCAGGCACAGCTGGGCTGGTCTGGGTCTGTCTCTCTCACTACTGTGGGAACCAAGCACATCCCTGTCCTGGAAGTTTGTTCTCCCTCCAATTCAAGATACTCTCTTGGCCAGGAGTGAGGGGCACTGGACACCTTCCCAACCTCGGGTGGGCCTCCACTCTGTCTGGCATAGAGAGGCAAAAAGGGTACAGGATGATAGGGAGAGAGCATACTGCCCCTCTGTCTCCATTCAGGCCCCTGTATTCCCTGCCTGATCCCCTCCCCAACTACCCCACCCAAAGTCTGGGTTTCCAGAGGTGGCTTCCTCTTACTTACCCAGTCCTGCATTTGCAATCCGTGCTGGTTACTGCTCTGGGCACCCGGTTGGCCCCTGGTCCTAGACTGGCCCCCAGGGGGAAAGGGCTGCCTATGCTCTTGAGTGGGCTGTGACTGCTGTGCCCACAGCTGCCTGCTGTCCATCTTGACCCTCAGCAGGCTGTGGGTCTTCACCTCTGAGGCTCTAGGGGAAGGATCAGGATCAGGTGGGGTAGGGTCCCCAAGGCTCCCAGGGCCCCTTGGTCAGATGGCAGGCAGCAAGTTAGGCCACCTTCCAGCCACTAATCAGACTGTTGCCCGATGGCTGGCCCCTGTGAGCAACATGCTCCTCACTACTCCGGTGGCCACTGCCCTCCACATCAGCATCCCAAGTCAGAAGCCTCCGCTGTCTGTTGTCTCCAGCCCTGGCTCCTAGCACCAACCCTCCGCCGTCCTGCTCCTTGATCTGGCTTCACCACACCCAAGGCTCAGGCCTCAGTCTCCACCCTGTGGGGGTCTGTGCTGAAAGGGAGGGACACAGGAGGAGAGAACAAGATGCACGTTGGAGAGGGGAGGAGTAGGCCCAGTGGGTCCCAAAACCGTAAAAGCGGGAACAACTGGGGAGGTAAGGCCCTGAGACTGGGGTGGGGGGCAGGGCATAGAGACCAGCGCTGTGGGGTCCTGGAATAGAGGAGCAGGGTCCTATGGAGGTACTGAGAGGTTCAGCGGGGTCCTGTGAAGGGCGGTCCTGTGGGGATGTAGAGGTTTGGTGGGGTCCTGTGGGGGTACAAAGAGGCTGGAAGGGGGTCCTAGAGGGAACAGAGAGGCTCTGCGGTGTCCTGCGGGGGTACAGAGTGGCTTTGGGGGGTCACCAAGTAGCTGGGCGGGATCCTCTGGGGGCAGGACGGGCCTCTACAGGCCTCTGTAGTGTCCGGTGACAGCAAGGCTGGCTCTGCGGGGTCCTGTGGAGGCGAGGCTGGCTCTGTGGTCCTGTGGGGGCAGGACGGGCTCTACGTGTCACTGGGAGGCTCTGCGGGGTCCTGTGGGGGCGGGGCGGGCTCTACAGGTCACTGCGAAGCTCGGCAGGGTCCTGTAGGGGTAGGACGGTCCTGCGTGGTCACTGGGAGGCTCTGCGGATCCTGTAGCGGCGGGGCTGGCTCTGCGGGGTCCTGTGGGAGCGGGGCGGGCTAGGCAGGGGGCACAGGCAGGCTCTGCGGGTTCCTGTGGGGGCGGGGCTGGGTCTGCGGCGTCACAGGGAGGCTCCGCGGGTTCCTGATGCGGGTGGGGCAGGCTCTGCGGGGTAACAGGGAGGCCCTGCGGGGTCCTGTAGGGATGGGGCGGGCTCCCGGATCCTG